ATGGCTCTATGTCTGTTAATTATTGCCACGTTGTTCTCACCTAAGAGTTGCTTATATATGTGTGGCACTTACAGTGTTTTAATGTACCTTTCAGGGAGGGTGCAAGCAGAAAATTGGAATCTCGTGGTCGGGTTGTCCTCCCCCGCACCTCGTGACTACAGCTCCCCTCCATCTTGAACATTGTATTTTCCCTCCCGATCTTGTCACCTTTAACAAAGATGTCCAAAGCGAATCTACCGGGCTTGTCTACGAATGTTAGGAATAGGGGAGAGGAGACCGATAGTCTCGCTTCACATATATATCTGGGTACTAGCCAGCTAGTAGCGAAGCGGTAAAGGTATCTAGAGTTCAGTTTACTGACAACCTTAAGCATGTACAACAAGAAAATTCTGTAACAAAGCCATTTCGGCTGATTCACGGTCAATGAACACATAAATCACAAAGAAAAATATATTTTGCTAATTTATTTACGCTAGGCCTGAACTTTAAAACACATGTATACATTGACCATTTCCAAATACGACCTGCTACAAAATAATACGAAAAAAATTAACTTATTCATAATTTAAAAAGTACACCAGAGTAATCGTACCACTATATATTTTCGTCTAGTTAGTAATTCCCACTTTCATCATCTGTTGTGTAGGCCCTAGCACGCAAAATAGAAGCCTAAAAACTAAATCATAAACTCGTTGTGCATTTATTCTTTATAGATTTTGCAAAACGATCCGATTGATTTTTTAGGCAGCTTTGTTTGTTTGAGTACCTCAAAATTTGATGTGTGGAGCGCTTTTGGTGCCTCGTGAGAATGCGTGCTAGTGGGAAGGTTTGTTGTGATATTTAAATGCGTTGCTTACGTTTATAGCTAAAGCTATTTGTAGTTATCGGTCGAAAATTACCAACTGATAAGGAGCCTAAGCCCGTTCCCTATCGTATGCGCATTTTCGCTCCAGATTCCGTAACTGCCAAGTCGCGGTTCTGGTACTTTATCCGTCAGCTGAAAAAGATGAAAAAGGGTAATGGGGAAATTGTCTCCTGCAAAAGGGTAAGAACGTATTCCCTTTTTGTGATTTCCAGCACTGCGTGTTTTCTGCTTGTGTTGTTCAACAGGAGCTAAGTGCCACGCAAAAATGGATGCAGTCTACTTTAGTCTAATCTAATGTAGGTCTTGTGACACTTTTTGCAGTATTACTGCATGGTCACTGACCGTAGTGGTTCACTTCGGATAGGTTCATGCAGAAATCGACTTCTCGATTGGCAGTTTTTCTGCTTATCGTGAACATTTATGCAATCAAGTCGCACCGCTTACCGGCTGGCATTAAACTCAGCTAAAATCGGTGCGGAAATTTAGTGCGTATGTGTTATAGAGCCTTGCGCAACACCTACTCTGTTCGCACGTTATCCCACCTGATACGCTTAGACCGAGGCTTATTTATCTTTGCGCCTTTCAGCTCTACCCTAGAAAACCTCTCACTGTTAAGAACTACGGCATCTGGATCCGCTATGATTCGCGATCTGGTACTCACAATATGTACAAAGAGTATCGCGATTTGACCGAGGAAGGTGCAGTCACACAGCTCTATCGTGAAATGGGAGCTCGTCATCGTGCCCGAGCGACTTCTATCCAGGTAATCAAAGTCGAGGCCATTCCCGACAACAAATGTCGTCGCCCGCACATCACTCAGTTCCACGATAAGAACCTCAAGTTTCCACTTCCTCATCGTGTCAATCGTCGTCTCCATGCTCCCCGTTTCACCACAGCGCGGCCCCTCACCACTTTCTAAATGTTTGTGAATATAAGATTGGTCTTGGGATGACAGTCTTGTAAACTTCATTCCTGTCTGCTGCTGTCGTTTTTTCCTGTTCTTCACTGGCAACAAACTGAACGCACGGCATTTGTCCACGCCATTCCCAGTTAACCACAGTGAAAGCTTTCGCGTTGTGAAAATTGCCCTTTCCCTTGTCCGATCAGCTGGTGAAGCCGACGAATTCGATTTCTTAGTTTTCATTCAATCTGCGAGAGGGAGCAGTGGGAGGTGTGAGTGGTGTCCGGCATCCTTTGTGTCACCCGGGCGATGCGCTCAGTTGCCCAAGGCAACCAGGGCAGTGCTCTGAATACATGTCTGCTATTCCGTAATTCCAGGTGGTTTATTTGGGGTAGTCAATGAAGTCGCGATGGCAGCGTGTACTATTGATTTGGCAGTGCCATACTCTGTTCAACCGTGCTTAATGGTTATCCTTGTTGCTGTCTTGCGACCTGGCTCTTCGACTCATTCAAGGGGGTTTCTTGATTTCACGTTCCTCAGCTTCTGAGCTCCGATCTGTACCGCGATCCTGGTAAATGGGAACTTTAAATTCTTAGTCCTGGTGTTTTCTTTTGTACTATTCGGTAAGTGGTTTTTTAGGCACTAATTCGGAATTCGGCGATGTCTTAAATCGCTCCAAGTAACCTCGTTGGTCGTTTGGCGCATGATGATGGTTTGTCAATTTGTTTGATCTACCTCCCAATCAAACTCCAAAATCAAAGCCTTGAAGCTCGCACAGAGGTCTTACTCTTCATCACAAAGGTCTTGGGTGCTCATTCTTCCCTTACATAGTGCGCGGTTACTGACGTTTGCGGTTGAGAAATAGTCTTTTTTGTGTAACTGATAGACAGTCGCGATTCATCAAATAGTTGGCGGGGAGTTAATCGTAGTTGGGTCGCTTTCCACTGGGAGTTTGGAGTCAGTGTGATGGTCTATATCCCAACGGAGGAGGTTATTGTCCACCCTCAAAACAAAGTGGTCATGGACTACTACAATCGCCAGGAAAATTTTATTCCTGACTCTGCAGCCTTTAACGCCTTGGAGTGGTAAGTTTGCAATATCGTGGAGCAGCGTGTCTGTACCACCGAGGTCTCGTTGATAGCCACAACTATTACAACCTCTAGTACCAACATGAATGTGAACTACTCTAGAATCACTCTCAGCGATTTTTCACCCATATGCAAATCATCTTATGTATCCTCCCTTGGGTAGCAAGATTCCTCAGAATCTGAAGTAGCAGCCCACTGGACGGCAAATCGTCTGACTGATCACTAGGTAACCGTGTGCACAGATAAGTCTCACTTCCATAGAATCGTTATAAGGGATAACCTCCTATTAAATGTGTATTTGATGGTTGATAAAAACTTCCCATTTCACTAATTTTTTCATCTTACAGTATGCAAAGTCCCCAAGATTGGCTGCCCCTTTTTTTCACGTAAATATTGAAATAAATAGCCTAGCAGATCTTGTCTGAGGCTTTTCATGCATTCCTAGTGTTCGTTTCTAATGCATAAAAGTTTTCATAATGCACAAAAATACCTTACACTTGTGTGGTACTGCAGTAACATTCGTAGTTTTCTTCGCGACGTGTAATCCTGCTGCCTCCACTGCAATTTAACATTTTTCACCGTCAGTCGGAAAATTTTATTCAGGTGATGTCAACAAATTGTGTGGGGGGTTAATGTTGATGAGACACCAACTTGGAGATTGGACGATGCGATAATCACTGATGCAAACGCACCTGAAGTGGTCGTTCGAATCTGGAGTCTTCTCTCAGCATGTACCATGCTCTGCCGTAGCCCAATGTAACAGATTAAGAAAATTGGTTGCTAGAGACTTTGCAGCCTCAGCATTGATTGGAGAATCCTTTCAAGGCACCTGCGATTTGACCTCTGCACGGGTAGCACGAAGCTTTATTCCTGTCACCCGTATTTGTAAGACCTCCTGGCACTTCTGACACTAATATCGCCCTTCTGGACTTTTATACTTGGCAAAATATTGCAGTAATTCCACACTACGAATAATGAGAGTTCGACGCGTCATCAGAGCATCTTACAGAGCTACTGAAATATCTAGTAGCATTCTAGAAACATTTTTAAGTTAACAGAAGTGAACAGCAACCGAGTTCCCAATCCTCACCAAGCGATCCCAATGAATTGATCCCCCCACTGACTTATAAGGTCAGAAGAAAAGGCCAAGCTGACAATACCCATTATGATCAAACTGTAGAGGCAATCATATCTATTGATACTGTCCCTTTGACGTAATTCCATCCTTGAGTGTCTTGAGCCCGACAAAAACCGAAAGACCAACCCAAACCGTAGCAGGCTATTGCCCGGAGGACCTGACCACTGGTACACAACGAACCCACCAGGCGCTCCAATGAAAACCAGCCGTGGCAACTGGGAACAAGGCCATATTTGACAAGAGCGCTCGAAGATCGTCTCCTAAGGTCCTCTTTCGACCTAGCATTTTCAGCCTCAAATAGAAGCATCCTCCTATGGTCCCGAAGAAAAGACCGTCGGCATATAAGCTTGGACATGTTTTGCATTTTATACAGAGTACAGTCCATAAAGTATACTCTCATTCATCATTTCACTTTTTGTCGTTTCGCATTCGTGTCACTAGTAATATTTCCATCCACCGCTTTCCGCTTCCCGCCTTTTGTCTTATTGGTCTCCAGTTGCCGCTCAAACCCGCGTTTCACACGACCTGTCAGTGCAGTTCGCATGGACGAACCTGGACGCAGTTTGTCCAAATTATGCTCCCTCTGCAGATGAATTTGGGCCACCTTACTGCCGAAAACGTCAACACTGCGGTTCTTGGTGGGCTTATCCCTTTTTGGACGCAATTGGGATGGCACTCGTAACGAGCGCTTCCATTTGTCCTACAGAAAAGGCAAAGAGATCCATCAGCGGATAAGGCCAATGAAGGAGCCGATGATGAAGATACAGACCTCTGACGGCACTTGACGACGTCGAAGAACAAAGTCAACTTCAGGAGCAGAATTACACAGTTCCAACTGGACATAAGATCCCCAGGGAGTTTTCAGAGCTTCTGTGGTTGCTACTTGCTGTGAATTCTCCATATAGTTACCCCCGTCTTTGGATGGCCTTTTGAGCTCTTCCAATTTGATTGTCTGTACGCGCATGATAAGCTTTTCGGATGAGGGCATTATAAAGTGGATAACGTGTTCTAGGCCTGAGGAGTTTACGCAAGACACTTTTGGACCTCTGAAGAGATCTAAGGAAGGAAAAGTAATTGCAAAACATTCGGCGTTACCAATGAGCATAGATTTTAGGAGCCGCAATTCTTCATCTTCATCAAAAGCTTCACCGGAGAATATCAGAACAGGTTTCGCACCAAGAGAGAGTTTTGCATCCTAAACATGGCGTAAAATGGCAATTCCAAACGCACGAGTGAACGCATTGATACGTAGTTTTCTATTCCCAATTCATGCATATCGAGAATCTCATGATCATGTAACCGACCGATGACAATATTATTTGGTCTCTTCTTGGAATGCATTCCCATTACAAAAAGAGAACAATCGTACTTGTTACACATGCGTTCCTGGTATTGAATAAGTCATAAAACCACAACCACGTACAATAAATGAGGAGTCTTCAAAGGGTAGGACTTGATTCTTCCACTTCAGCTTATTAACAAGTGGTTTCTTGAGCAAGTACTGAAGCAATGAATAAAAACTCGACTTACAAGATCTGTCAAGAAGCTATTCACGATTTCGCCCGTATGAGCGCCTCTAATAATCAATGTCTGTTTATCGTTTTCATAAATTTTAGGCTCTCGTTTGGAGAGGAATTTACGCCCACGATGTGTTTTTGGTACACTAGGCGAGAACATTAAGACGTGTGGAAAGTCATACTTAATTTGATGCTCCAACGTATTAGCCGCCATGACCAAAGTAGAGCATGAATAGCTTCCCAAAGTACGTACCCACGCTCCAAACTTCAAGGTCAAGTCGTGGTATCCTCATTATTGAAAATAGTGGAGTTATAAATCACATTTATAAGCAAGTCTGGTTAATTTTGGGCCAAAATACTATCTATATGTATATTTTAAAAATAATTCTAACATTAGTTTGGCCTAAGTTTTCGATCTTAGAAAATTGCAATTTTTAATATTGCTACTGATGCAGTAAATTTGGACACTTTTTTGCTCCAATAACACCCATCTTAGACGCACATGTTTTAAAATCATACAGAAATGCATTAAATTTTGCTTTAAACATCCTTCTATCCTCCAAAATTTTGTCGGACTTACCTAAGCCGCCACCAACTTGTAGGACGAGGCTCGTAGTTCGTCTCTCCCCCGGCCCTCGTACTCTTACAGCACCCAGGTTAATTTGACTTAGATATGTTTAGTAGGATAAGTAAGTGGGGATAGTCAGTACAGAGTTTAGGAGGGCGTGGACACGTAGCAGCTCTCCGGGTTGCAGAGCCTTGACTTCTCAGTCATGAGGTTCGATCCGTATGCCTGCCTCCTCTCCAAAAGGAACATTCAAGTAACATGAGTATTACATATTACTAACGTGCAGAAAACCTGGAAGGCCATGAGCATAGCCAACAAGCTAGCAAAAACTAACTTGCCTAAAATTTTGACAATAAACTAGATATTATTCTCTCAGTCTATGGTATAATCACTCTCGTTGAGAGGACGCAGTAGAAATTCGTTGAAACACAATCTTGCTCCAGCGAGCATTGTTTTCAAGACTCGAAGTTGAGGATTTCCCAAGAGCGGATGTTGATCAGACCTACACGGGAATCCTAGAAAATCACAAAAGCAAAGAGAGATGTTTGCAACCAATATCGTCATGGTCAGAGGGGTGGACCGTTCACCTCTGTAACGTTGATGAGCCCGCGTAATTCCCACATATATAGTAGGACGAGACTCAAAACATCAAACAAGTTACGGATTAAAACAACACAAGAGAATAGACATTTGGCTTATCATAGTAAAATTCCCACAAAGTATTACTACAATCGCTGGGAAAAGTTTGCACTGTCAAAAGTTTTACCTGTGCTTTTGTCGCCTGTAGTTCTTCAAATCGCTTAGACAATATGTGTTTCCTCAATGCCGAGTACTAAAGAACTGTTTGAATATAAAAACAAACTATACGGTTGTATTTAATGACTGGAATTCACTAAACCAATCGCCTCATAGTCGCAGTGTGCTGAGGTCAAAGCAAACCCAAGTACTGTGAATGCGAATTTAGTTTAAACGTACAGAGGAGTCGAACGGCTACCGTCGTTAGCAAGGGCGTATACTGCAAGGCAGAAACACGACCCGCATAGCTCAACACGCAGCTAAACGGTTCGGCTGAGAAACCGGTAAATAACAATCATCAATCGGAGCGGCCACACCGATTGTTTAATTAAAACTGGTGCATAGTTTTTCTGGAGGCTAACACATGCCACTACTATTGCAAAATGTACACTGAATTCAACACTCTTTAAGGCTTTGAGCGCTTGAAAATCACAAAACATTGAAGCTAAATGTTTACAAATTCACAATTCCTGATTCTTAAAATTCCATCGAAAGAAAACATCAGTAAGTTTGGTTCTGTTTTTTTTATCAAGCGCCTTTTTTTTTCATGCCTATGCCTGAAATTTAAGCCAATTTCTCACGGCTGCGGAAATTGGGTTGGATCTCTCGGATGATCGCATTTTAGTGTAATATTAGGAAATTAGAGCTTTTGATTTACTTTGAAGCAAGCTAATAGTAAATTAAATTTAAATGAGCCACAACACACTTTAGACATAAGTTATTCATAAAAGTTCGTGTCAACTGCAAAGTTCTGATCCAAGTTTGACCTACTTTATGCGTCCACGACGATCGGCAAGAACTTTTGCTGTTCTAGTAACACTTATGTTGGCTTTTTTTACCTGTGTATTTAACTACGCAAGCACTTTAACCTCAGGGGTTTGTACTTCCACTCTTTGGCATATTCGTCAGGCCATGCCAGTAACATTCTAGCTCTTCTGTGCTTCAGCAATATTTGTTCTTCCAGATCACTCTAGCCTGTTACGAAGCCGTGGAAGAGTCCAGGCTCCAAAACGTTTACGACCTTCGCTTAAAAGTGCCGAAAAGCTTGATAAGTCCTTCTGCCATCTCTCTTAAAATGTAGTTTAAAATATGCTTCGGTATTTAGGGTGAGGAAAGTACAGCTTCGTTTATTTTACTGTTTCGTTAGTCGGCAAACAGTAAAGTCGTATTTCCGTCATTCATGAGACACGACTCTGAGTAACCCAGTGCAAGTAGGAACGGGCGTGGCTGCTTCGTCGACATAAAGTGTCGCCGTTATAAACGCGACATGGGGATTTAAACAAATCGAAAGTATTTAAGATGAATATATGTTAAGAAATAAGTATTTACACAGCAGTATAAATGCAGCAAAAAATTAGATGGAATTGCCATCAGCGTCAAAAGAACTTCGGAGTTGCTTTTACTCATATCAGCTATACACCGGAAGAGGCAGAGGGTCGGGTATTAAATGGCAGAAGCTTGACCATCAGATTTTGCATCATGTGAAGCCTCCAAGACGAGGAACAGTTCTGCCTTCTGTTTCTGGGCATGGTGGCAACCTCAAACGACCGCATTATGACTGTTGTGTTGATGAAAAGCAAGGAGGTATAAAATTGACACGCATCAAGAGTATTCAAATTTAGTGGGGAGAATTGTCTGTGGGTAACTCACCTCAAAACTTTACAACAGAAGTTGGTAAATCATATGTGTAAGTTATTCAAAACTAGTATACTTTGAACATGTTGGCCTCTGTCTTTCAGTTTTTTAACGCAGACTAGGAAAATCAAAAAGTCGGAAATTTTAGGCGAAGAGAGGTCTTAGCTTCGCAGTCCGACGAAATTTTGGTGTACCGCTGGTGAAAATCACCCTCGAGGCACCGTACTTTGAGATAAAAAGGCTCATATTAAGCGTATCCTCACACGATGTTTGCCAATCCAAAGTGAATTAACAGAAGCGCACACCCAGAACATCCAAGTGGGAACCTATTTTAGGGGTAGCAAACATTCTCATATTTGATTAAAATGGCAAATTAGGACTGCGCTATGTGACAGAGTCTGGGCAACAATTGATCATTCCTTCATCATCTCAACAATAAATTCTCAATGCCATGGCTTACTCACTCAGTAGTCGTGGCAACTACCATTCCTTCATTTTCACGTTCTCATAATTTAATCCAGATCAGCCGCAGCAACAAAAAAATTAGGTAGTTTTAAAACGAGCTCCTCACTCTTATTTCCAGGGCCGATTAAGGAGGCAATCTAAATGAAAGGCTAGAAACTTAGAAAAGCGCAGCCATTTTCTACGTTTACATCAAAAAGTTAAGCGGGCAAGGATGAAGGTGAACGCCTACTTTTCCGGTGCTTCCTGTAAAAAAACACAACCGTCGCAACTCAATTTCTCTGCATCTAGCCTACGTAACCACGCGCATTACGCTGTGACTTTCGAGGAGGGTAGCTAACGTGACCAATAAGTGAGGGGGATGTACTTTCTCACATCAAAAGTCCCACCGACTCGATTGTCTCACAAGACAATTAATGAGGCAAAACTGAAAAAAACTCATTGTAAGGAGGTTACCATTGCCCGCTTGTGATTTCCCCACTTTTTTGACCATTTACATTTGAGCAGAAGCTACCATCAGGAGCCACCTCACTATTTCCCACACCAGCAGACAAAATTACTCAAAGGTGTTACATCAGAAAGAGAAAGATAGTTCAGTGATGATGATGAGACCATCGACCAGATGAATTGGAGTGGAATTTTTAGAGAACGGCCAAATTGTCCACACCAACATCAATTGCACAAGTCGGCGTGGAAGTCACCAAAACAAGTGGCTCTCACTACTAATTTTAGATTCTGAAGCCATAAGTCAGATGTCTTTTTTGCTATAACATTGCATTGAAAGTTGGTCTAGAATTTTCTACCCTGTTCTCTTGCTTGAGTGTCAACCAGACGGTGTTTGACCACTTATTGAAGAGTGAATTGTGCATAATATGGCGTGAAATACCATTTATCTGGCAGATTTTTTATTTATTTAAACAACTCAATGGACTTTCAAGTCAATTTGGGACTATAATTCTACTTACCATGCAAAGTAGTAAGTGCAGTGCCAATGGGCACGTCGTGAACAGTGAGTTAAAAGCCCGCGTGTGATAATGAACGAACTATCATGGAACCAGAGATGTATTCCTTAATTCCATGAAGACAGTGATGTGAAGATGTCCGGACACTTATCAGTGGCATTCCCAGTAGCGGCCATCTTCAGGTCATGACCTGTGGACCAGCCGATATTTACCAACCTCACCGATGCATAACCTGTTGCTGCGGCAATACAAAAGCGAAGACTTTTACTGTCTCCACAGTGGACACAATGTGCGCTCTGAAATACTCTTTGCCTTTTCTCCATTTCCTCTAACGCCCCTTTTACATGACCGCCTTAATGGATTATTATCAGCCTCTTTCTTACTGAAAACAATTATCAGATCTTAAGATATTTTACGAATGCCTCCAATTTATTGGTAACACACAAGGCACTTTTTTCGGTGAGGCCTTTAATCATGAATCCGTCCAACCACAGAATAAGCCTTTTTTCCCCCATAAAAGGATCAACGATCGCAGCAGCATTCTTTACACGGCGCGTGAATTGCAAAGTATATCCCACCTCGTTGCCACTAGTGCGTCCTCTTAGTCACCTCTCTGACTCTGCAAGAAGGCTTGATCGGAACCACATGGCAGAAGATTGTGTGTTACAGCTATTCAACCTGAGAGAGTGCTGGCAATTTCAGAATCAGGAAGGCTCACGTGATAACATTAAAAGGCAATCTGATGATTCATCTCATCTCGATCACCCCTTGCATAAACATAAATAGAGGCCCTTTTTCCCATTCCCTACACTTCTTATTATCAGGTAGCAATTAAAAAGAAACTAACGCACTTTTTTGCCTTAACCTAAAGGTGAATAATGTGTGATATTTTTCAGTCGAAAAAGGCCCACTTTTACAAGAGTTACTACGTTTGAGTTTCTACTAACAGGCTTACGAGGTGTAAAAGATGGAATAGGGGAGTCAGTACAAATGACTCCAAAAATCAGGGGAAATAAATTGTATCTTGATAGCTTGATATTTATTTTTATGAGTGGCTGATGTTTCCTTCTGGTATTATTGCTTTCCAGCCCTCCCTACAGCATCTGGTTCTTTTATATTGGTAAATTTCGGATAAATTTACGACCGCTTCAATTGTGATTTTGCCCAGTGGAGTCTCCCGCGTGGCCTATGGGAAGAGGAGGAGGCACCGTAGCTACCAACCGCGGAAACAAGCAGACTAACCCATTATGAATCAATGACGCCATTTTAAAATAATTTCTATTAATTTGAAGGAGTCCTTCCCCTTTTCTAATTCGGTTAACCTTGATAAAAACAAATACCAAGAATATTGCGTGTCACGTTTAGTTCTGTGCGTAGGAATTAATAGGTCTTAAAATTTAATTCGTAAATAGTTGATTAAATACGCAATTTACCCACTTTTTTTCATTTTTATTAACAAAACTCCCACAAAGTTACCCATGTGAACGACGTTTGACCTTACGCCGTTACATTCAAATCTATTTTTGATTAGCGAAATGTCACTCCTTGTATAAACAGCAATAACTCTTCGTCTCACTGAATGCCTAAAAAATAACTCGTGATTTTTTCTCTTTAATTGCTAAAATAACTCAAAATTTCATCATGATAAAATTGGGACCGCTATGTGAATGAACCAATCGCATCGCTTCAAAAAGTCCCATTAACCAATGAGGAAGCAGTTAGTTAGAACTTCGATATTTTATTGAAGTCACATGCTTCCTCAATCAAATTTTACCACACCCCTAACTTATTTATTATACTTCAACTTATTTATTATACTAGCAATTTTTTCATCAATTTTAATATTCTTTACAATAGCCCCGTAGGGATTGCTAGAATCCAACCATAATGGCTAATCATATTTCTAAATTGTAAATATTCGGGTGGATTTTTGACAATAAAACGGGTTATTTCGGCGCATTGGAATCTTATTTGATAAATTTATCCACTGCGTTGATAATTCTCATTGACAGTGTAAAAATTTAAAACTAAATCGAGGATTTCAGCTGTCGCCTGAAGGTGAAGTCGATCCGTTTGCTTGCTCCAGCATAAAATACTTTCAAACCTTTTGATTTTTCCCCGCATTTTATAGGACAGCAAAAGGAGCAGAAGTGTAGTAGAGGAGGTTTTGACGCTTTATAAGCATTGCAGCGGGCTGGACTAGTAGGCTGCTAAGCCACACCCATTTCGTGCATGCATTAAAAGGATTTTGGACGCTAAATACTCAAACGCATTTTGTTAGGCTTCACGCAGAAGCTTGTGTAAACCATGGTAGCTTTCTCGAAAAAGAGAACATCTTTAGGTAACTCACAAATGACTTGTTTTGCAGTCGCTAGCGAAAATGTTATCCTACCGCTCAGACCATTCCAACCTTGTATAGAAGGAGACGGCTTAAAAGAGAACCTCTCTGCACCACTTTCTTTGATTCCCTTGAATCGTAAAGGTTGACTAGAGCAAGGCATCCTATATTGTGTAGCATGGGTGATTTTTTTGTAGGATTTCGGTGTTTCCCTCCACCATGTAAGGCCGATGGGGTTAGCTTGGCCTCGAGGTTAGTATGATCTGGCCACTTGCCACATAAAGGGCACGTTCAAACATCCATGTGTTGCAGCTCCTGGCGAGGTGAACCAATTGATAACCAGGTGAAACAAGGTGAGGCTCTCGAAAAAGTCATTAAGGAAGTCATTACGTCCCATGTTTAAAAAGAAACAAGTCCCTCAACACCTGCAAAAGTAAGACCTATCAATTCAACTTTACTGGCATACGAAGTGGGAGCCATTTTGTGCTTAAAAGGAAGCAAAATTTTTGATCAACATTGACCATTTCCGCAATCCCCAAATATAATAGAGTATCTGGCTTTAAAAAACACTTGCGAAACGAAAAGCGAATAGTCATAATTAATAAATGGAAGCCAGCATGAAAGAACTTTAATAGTTTGATAGTTTGTTGAACTCGGCCTTTGGCAACGCAAGCACTTAAATCTCCGCAGGTTGTACTTCCATTTGGTGGCACGACCCCTGGGCGATCCCAGAAGGCTCGGCCCTTGTATCTGATAGAAATGTATTTTATGTCTCACCACAGCTACTTCTTACGACCTTAAAGGCGATTCGGAATGATAAAAAGTAGATGATTAAGTAACTGTTTTAGATAAATATAATGAAGTGGTTATTAAAAATATGATTATAACACTTTCAATGCTCTGCAGCATTTGTTTACAGAAAAAGTGGTAAATATAAGGGACAAAGTTAAAATTTAAACCAGAGATTTAAAAAAGAGAAAGTCAGCTTTGGTATTTGAGTAAACATTGGAAATAAAACACGTCTACTACATACCTGACATTCAATTAATCGGAAAACGAGAAGGAGA